CAGGCTGTGGCGCTCAGTGATGGGTGGCGACAAGCCGGACTCGGAGCCAGCAGCAACGGAGAAGGCGGAAAAGGCGCTTGCTACGGCCATCAGGGGGTGCAAGAACGAACGCGTCAAATGCTGGAGAAAACGTGTACACGCCGACGGGCTTTGGAAGACCACGGCGGGCTGGAGCCGTAACGCAGTCAGCACGTACCACAACGTTGCTGTGCAGGACGACGCCAAGCACGACCACGACGAAAACGACACCACACCCACCAACTACTTTGCACAAGACGCAGTGGAGCGCATCCGCAACTACTACGAGAAGAATTTCACGGCTTGTGGACAAGACAACGACACGGACGGTTACACGACAAAAAACTCCAACATAAGCACGAGCAGCGCGACCACTGGGCACGACACGCAACGGCAACCTTTGGCAGCTTCGACCACTGGACACCGCCGGCGGCGCCACAGTTCTGCCGCATGTTGCACGGGGGCATGGCAGCAGGACCAGACCAATGGGCTCCCTCGGAGCTTATGCTCCTCCCAGAAGAGGCACTGGAGGAGCTGGTGGACCTCTGCGTCTACGCCGAGGAGCACGGATGACCTACGCAACTGCCGCAGTGGCGCCATGTCCACCTACCGGAAGACCCAGACACCGCGCTCCCGAGCCTGACACGACTACGCCCAATCACAATCGCGAGCGCTGTGGTCCGCGCCTGGCACAGGTGGAGGGCAGACCAAATGGCCACCTACCTCAGCCCCGCCTTCCTGCCCACGCAGGGAGGCGGACTCGAAGGGAGAACCCTCGAGTCCCTCATTGAGCCTTGCCTTTCGCTCATTGAATAGACTATCGCAGCAAACCGCTGCGGCGACAGAAACGGCGACCCCGCTGACCTCACGGGGGAAGAGCGACGTTGGTTGCGAGAGAAGCACGTCGAACTTCACGTCAAATCGTGGGACTACGCTTCTGCTTTCGACTGGGTTTCTCCGCGGATCGTAGGCGAGATTTGGGAGCGACTTGGGGTGCCGACCAAGATCGCCGACAGCATCGTTCAAATCTGGACGCGACAAGAGCGGTGGATTGAGGTGGGGCAACTTCTCTCACCGCGCACGATCAGCGTCCTGCGCAGTTTGCTTCAGGGGACCCGACGCCAAGCTGCACTGCACCCGCGAGAAACCTTTTTGCACCTGTTGCGGACGACCGCACGGCGGCCACGACCACCGAGGACGAACTACGGAGTATCGAAGAGGAATGGGACATGCTGGAGTCCGTCACCGCGCTGCGCACCAACACCAGCAAAAACCAGACAATCACAGTCCTTCCGCACCAGTGCGACAACCACCACTTGCAGGGCAAAAGGAGGAAATGCCTTGGTATCGACTTCACCATGCAAAAGGCCACGCTCTCAAGCCGGGGGCGAAGCAAAATCGAGGAAACGCTTGCGCGCATGAAACGGATTGCGCTTCTACCCCTGAGCATGCGGCTGCGCACGACTGCGGTGGCCACTATTGCGCTGCCAGTGTCGAGCTGGGCACTCGTTGTCACGCCGCCGATCCAAAAACACCTGCAACGAGCACGGGAGGCCGTGACACTACGGAAATGGCCGCGAGCAGTTCCCGAACTTTTTCGACTGTTTGTGATGGGGCACAGTACTGATTTGCGGTACCATTTGTGCCGACGAGCAATACAACTTCTGGCTTGCAGACTACGACGGCAGGGGCCACTCAACGCCTATCTTGCCCACCTGTATTCCTTGGGAGCAACGAGGTGCGACGACGACGGCTTCTGGAGAGGCCCACGGGGGGAGGTGCGCCTCACCGACACAACAAACCGACAACTACACGAGCTCCGGCTGATACCCCGATCCCATGAATGGGTCATCCCCCAAGGTCGGAGCCGACGGGGGTGCCCCATGACAGCCAGAACGCCCTTCCCGGCTGCCGCTATCCACGTGGCACAGGAGGCGCGGAAAAACAACCCGACCGTCGCCGCCCACATCGCCGCAATGCTGTGCGGCTGTGTGGTCCCCGACGCACTGCTGGAGTCCAACCAGAGGGGAGGAGGTCTCGACCACTACAGCCAGCGCCGACCTGCGGCGAAGCATCACGACACCGACGGCGGACCTCACGCGACGGCTGGGATGGCCGACGGAAGACGTCACGCGCAGAACAACCGCCACATAGATCGACATGGTGTTGGCCATGGCTCGTATCCGGGAGCGTGCATTGCAGCACCGACACCAGAAATTATAATTAGTTCACAACCGACGCATCATATTGGTTCAATTGGTACTCGTGTGGTGTCTGGGCAGCTCAGCTCTCCTTTGGGCAGTTATTTTTACTACGCGTGCACGATTGGTATATTAAGGCGGTTATGTTTTTATGTATGTATATATATATATATATACATACGTGTATGTATATGTATTGTATTACGTGGATGTGTGTGTTGGGAAATTGTGCGGTGTGGGTTCGTTGTGCAGTTTTGTGCAATAACGGGCCGAGTACACCACATGGCGCATGTGCGTGTGATGATATGCCCTGACGTTACGTGTGGGGCCGGGCAGGGCCGCTCCTGAACAACGATCGCCGCAGCTTTTCGAATTGCGTGGTGTCCTCACATGCCTACGGATTGGGGACGCAGCTTGGTTCTACCCCCAATATTCCTCCTATGGAAGAACATACCCGACTCAATCCCATGGGGGAAGTGAGAGGGGGCGGGCCTGCGCGAAGAGCTGCTGGTCAGCATGCCCGAGCGATCGGCACCCAGAACAACAAGAGAACACAGGCCTGCTGCCGACGTTGGCCCCCCATCGCGCCCTCGCTCCACGAGGATTAGGTCGCGCATGACCTCCTACAAGCGGATTTTGGTCAAATGAAACACGCGTTGCTTGCTCAAAAAAATGGGGATACCCTCCCTGTAAGAGGGACTGGCCCGACTTCACATGAGCAGAAACACGACGAACGGGGGAACCGGGCAGGAGCACGCGCGAGAGCGGATCGCCGCGCCCGCGACGCCGACGGCGGCGGCGTTGCCGCAGACAGCGCGCGCGCGCCGACGACGCCGGCCGACGGCACGCGCGGGCGGTCCCTGGCGGGCGGCTGCCGGCGGCTCGCCGCGGGCGCGCGGGGCGGGGCGCGCTCCGAGCCTCGGGGAGGGGCGCTCCGCCGCAGCGTTGCCGCCGTCGCCGCCAGTCGCAGGCGCCGTCGCCCGTCGCCGAAGTGGGGCGAGGAGTGGAGGGGGATTGAAGAATCGAGCTGTATACACCGACGCCTATGTCTGGCCTCGCACTGACTCTCGCACAAGGAAGCGGATCCTGGTGTATCGGGGATCCTGGTGTAAAGGTTCTTGTTTGTTTCCCCTGGGAAACAAGGGGAACAATATACACCACACCAAACTGCAATGTACATGCTCAAGTTTCTGGGGGATGTCCCGTGGGGGCCGGGGAAGCCCCGAGGAATAAACGCCCACACCGCTGCTCTTCCATCGTTGCCCCCCCCGTTGGGCCTCCTGGGAGGCCCTCGTCGGCACCCGCAAGGTTCGCCTCGAGATTCTGGTGAGAACGCACTCCGGGCGAGATTCAGGGGATAGCGGCATCGGCGCCAAAAGCGGACCGCCAGAAGGCGGCCTAACTACGCTGGGGCGGGGCAAAAGATAACCGCGAAGACCGCCGCTGCGGAGAATCGACCCGGCTTGGCGCTGAAGAGCGGTTGAACGAAAGAACCCGCTTGCAACGCCAACCCTAGCGGGGTTAGGCACGACGCGGTCGGGGACATGTCCTGGCACGTGCGCAAGGCTGCATGCAAGAGAGTGGCGACGCCGTGCTGGGCGGCGACGCAGGACGGAGCGCAGAATCCTCCGCCGGTAAATGGGAATAGCGCAAGCCAGATTGGGATGATATGTAGACTGGGGATACCAGAGGATACTGATACCCGTCGGTCGGAAAAGCTCAAATGAACTCCGACAAGGTCCTAACCTTTTCTGGCGGAGGAGGAGCAGCAACAGCAGGGGAGGAAGGACGAGGGACCCAGGGCTTAATCCCAATTTGTGATGGGCCTGTCTTCCACTACCACCATCAGTTCGAAGAGGGCGCCCTCCTCCTCCTCCTCCTCCCTATCCTCGCTCTCTTCCTCCTCCTCCCCCTCCTCTTCCTCCTCCTCCCCCTCCTTTTCCTCCTCCTCCTCCCCCGCATGATTCCTTGTGGTTGCAAGGTTCCCAGAAGGCTCCGTGGTGAAATCTACGACCGCCGCTCGAAATGCCCAACCCCTGTCTTCGAGCAGTCCAGATCTATGCTGGTTGTCTGGGACCGGGCGCGTGGGTTTCCTAACCCCACTGGAGGAGGAGTAGGAGCAGCAGCAGCAGGGGAGGAAGGAGGGAGGAGCGAAGAGGGAGGGAAGGAAAGGTGGGAGGGAGGAGGGAGGCCCCATAGTCCAATAGCCCTATAGCCCTGTAGTCCTACAGCCCTAGAGCCCAATCGCCCTATAGCCCGATACCTGTATAGCCCTATAGCCCTATAGCCCTCTAGTTAAATAGCGTTCTGGCCCTACAGCCCTATATCCCGATAGCCATATAGCCCTATAGCCCTCTAGCACTCTAGCCCTATAGCCCTGTAGCCGTATAGCCCGATAGCCTATAGGCCGATTGCCATATAGCCTCATAGCCCTATATCCATATAGCCCTATAACCTCGTAGCCCTATAGCCCGACAGCCCTATGCAGCCGAATATCCGAATAGCCATGCCGCCCTATAGCCCTTTAGCCCATTAACCCCACACCTCTTTTATAGCCCTGTAGCCGAAAAGCTCAAGAACCCAAGAGCCCAATAGCCCCATAGCCCTATAGCCCGATAGACCTACAACAAAAAAACGTATACCCGTATATCCCTATAGGCCTACAGCCTTATAGTCCTATAGTCATGTTGCCCAGTCGCCCATATACGCGTACAGGCCTACAGCCCTATAGCCCGATAGCTCCGTGGCCATTTGGAGCCCTCTTGGGGCAATCCTGGAGCGTCTTGTTGGCATGTTGCGAGCTATCTTGAGTCATCGAGGAGTATCTTGAACGATCTTGGAGGTCATCTTGAACTCTCTTGGGCCCTCTTGGCGCCATCTTAGGCCAACACAGACGCTCCAACTACCCGCGACCTGGCCCCTCCGGGTCCAGGGGAGGGGGTATGGGGGAGGGGCCCGGGGAACAGAGCAGACTACCTAGAACGGCCCCGTGCTACACTAGAACGGCACTGCTTTAGCCTAGAACGGCGCCGTTGTGACCTTTTGGCCCAAGATCGGTGCGTATCGCCTCCCAGCGAGGCCAGCGGGGGCCCTCTTGGGCACCTCTTGGGGCGATCTTGGGCGCTCTTGGGCCCGGCTTGGGCTTCTTTGAGGCCCCTCTTTGGACTCTCTTGAGCCATCTTGGGGCGGTCTTGGGGCCTCAAGAAGCGCCGCCGATTTCGGCGGCACGCCCGGGTGCCCGGGTGCCTGGGAGATGCGTCGCCGATTTCGGCGGCCCGCCCTGGTGCCTGGGTGCCCAAATTCGCTTTAGCTCTGTAGCCCTATAGCCCTTTCGCCCTATAGCTCAACAGCCCTATATAGCCCAACAGACCTATAGCCCTGTAGCCACTATAGCCCTACAGCCTTATGGCCCTTTTCGCAATTTCGCCCTATAGCCCTACAGCCCCATAGCCCTATAGCCCGATCGCCCTAGATATAGCCCTATAGCCATATATCCCTGGAGGGTGCCTGTGTATGGGGTCCTAGCGAATTCATTCCTCAATCGAAGCTGGCCTCTGTAGGGGTCCCAACGAGTTCATATGGTTAGGTCAGAAGCGCCACCTAATTTGGCGTGCCCAAGTGCCCTATAGCCCTATAGACCGACGGCCCTGCAGCCCTAGAGCCATATAGCCCTGTAGTTCCGGAGCCCTATAGCCCTATAGCCCTATAGCCCGATTTCGGCGTGCGCGGGTGCCCTATAGCCCGATAGCCCTATAGCCCGATAGCCTTCTATCCCTATGGCCATATAGCCCTATAGCCATATAGCCCTATACCCCATAACACCATAGCCCGATAGTCGCATAGCCCCATTGCCCGATAGCCCAATAGCCCTTTCACCCGAATAATCATATAGTCCTATGGCCTTCGAGCCCTGTATCCCTACATCCCTATAACACCGTAGCCCTGTAGCCCAATTGCCCTATAACACAAAAGCCGTATAGCCATATAGCCAGGTACCATATATCCTTCGAATTATGTAGCCCTATCGCCCGATAGCCCAATAGCCGTATAGCCCAATAGTCAAATAGCCTATACCCATGGGCCCCAAATCGCCCTTATAGTCCTATAGCACTGTAGCCCTATAGCCATATAGCCTCATAGCCCTAGAGCCCTGATATTTCCATCGCCCTATAGCGCGACCCTCTAACCCTCTAGCCTCTATAGGCTTATAGCCCTATAACCATGTAGCCATTTGGCCCCATAGCCCTATAGCCCAATAGCCGCATAACCCTACAGCCGTCTACCCCTATAACCCCAAACAAACCCATTGCCCCACAGCCCTACAGCACTGCAGCCCCAGAGCCCTGTAGCCTTATAGCCCTATAGCCATATAACCCAATAGCCCTGTAGCCCTATGGCCCTATATCCCCATAGCCCCATGGCCCAATAGCCGTATTGCCCTCTAGCCCCTTAGCCCAAATAGTCCTATGGCCCCATAACCCTATACCCCGGAAAACCGTATACCCGTATAGCCTTATAGCCCCATAAACAATATATAGTCCGAAAGTCCTGTAGCCCAATATCCCTATTTCCCTACAGTTCTATCGCCCGATAGCCCCATAGCTCATCGATTTCCCAAGAAATGTTGGGAAGATTTCGGCCTGTCGGGGGTGTCCTTGGGAGGCTCCGTGGCCACTTGGATCCGTCGGGGGGCGATCTTGGCATGTTGCGAGCTATCTTGAGTCATCGAGGGATATCTTGAGCGATCTTGGAGGTCATCTTGAGTTCTCTTGGGCTCTCTTGGCGCCACCTTAGGCCAACGCAGACGTTCCAACTACCCGCGGCCGGGCCCCTCCAGGTCCAGGGGGAGGGGGTAGGGGGAGGGGCCCCGGGGGGGAGAAGGAGGTTGAGAACAGAACGGAGTACCTAGAACGGCCCCGCTCTAGGCTAGAAAGGGGCCGTTCTAGCCTAAAACGGCGCCGCTCCAGCCTAGAACGGTGCCGTTCTAGCGTAGAACAGAGCCGCCCTAGGCTAGAACGGAAGCCTTTTTTGGCTCAGGATCGGTATGTACCGCCTCCCGGCGAGGCCAGCGTCGCCCTCTTGGGCAGCTCTTGGGCCTCGCTTGGGTTTCTCTGGGCCAGCTCTCGGGGCTCTCTTGGGCCATCTTGGGGTGGTCTTGAGGCCTCAAGAGCCCATCGGAAGCAAAAAGGCGAAACGGCCAAAAATGTTCCCCAATCAGAGCTTGCCTTTGTAGGAGCCCAAGCGGATTCATATGGTCAGGTTAGCGGCGCCGCCGATTTCGACGGCACGCCCCGATGCCCGGGTGCCCGGGTTCCCGGGAGCTGCGTCGCCGATTTTGGCGGCCCGCCCGGGTGCCCAGGAGCTTAGGTGCCCTTTAGCCCTATAGCCGTATAGCCCTCTAGGCCTATAACCCACTGGCCCTACAGCTCTACAGCCCTATAGCACCATAGCCCTGTAACCCTATAGCCCAGTAGCCCCAAAACCCTATCGCCTTATAGCCCTAGAGCTTGACTCTGTAGGGGTCCTCGTGGATTCATTCCCAAATCAGAGTTGGCCTCTGTATGGGGTCCTACCGGATTCATATGACTAGTTTAGCTGAGCCGCGGATTTCGGCGCGCCCGGGTGCCCTATAGCTCGATAGCCCTATAACCCTATAGCCCTATAGCCCTACGGCACTACAGCCCAATAGCTCCATAGCCACATAGCCCCATTGCCCTACAGCCCTAGTCTTATAGCCCTATAGCCATCTAGCCCTGTAGCTCTACAGCCCTACATTATACTAGCCCCTCTGGCCCCACATCGCCCTATAGCCCCTATAGCCGAAGAGCGCTATAGCCCCTACGGTCCCATAGCCCGATAGCCCTACAGCCGTGTAGCCCCTATAGCCAAATAGCCCTATCGCCCTTACAGCCCCAAAGCCCTATAGCACTTCTGGCCCTGTAGCTCTCTAGCCCTATAGCTCTATAGCCATGCAGCTTTATAGCCCTATAGCACTATAGCCATATAGCCCAAAAGGCCCTATTGCCCTAGAGTTTGCATCTGTATGGGATCCTAGCGGATTCATTCCCCATCAGATATTGCTTCTGTTGGGGTCCTAACGGATTCATATGGTTATGGGTTCGATGAACCGCCAATTTCGGCGTGCCCAGGTGCCCTATAGCCTTATAGCCGTAAAGCCCTGTAGCCCTACGCCCCTGTAGCCCTATAGCCGTATGGCCCGATCGCCCTACAGCCCGATAGCCTTATAGCCCAACCGCCCAATAGCGCTATAGCCATATAGCGCTACAGCCCCAAAGCAAAGCACACTAGCCCTCCTAGCCCCTTATTGCCATATAGCCCTACAACCCCATAGCCCTTTTACCCCGGTAGCCCTGTAGCCCAATAGTCGTTCCGCCCCCGTATAGCCCTCTAGCCCGATAGCCCGTCTAGCCCCATATCCCTAGAACCCCATCGCCCTCTATCCCCTCTAGCCCTATAGCCCGATAGCCGGCAATCCCCATATAGCCTTAATAGCCCTATATTCCCATAGCCGTATAGCACGTATAG